CTTGGCAAAATATTACACTTCATAACAGTGAAAGGTCAGAAGTTCAGCCGAGTCACGGTGACAAACACGGCAGAGTTTTCTTTAACTGATTTAATCTTTAATATTTTTTACTATGATTTTTTTTTCTAAATTAAAACCCATTTAGTGTTCCAAGAATGAATTCCAAATAATTATGCAAATATTATTTAGACATAATATTGATAGTAAACGATAGTACATTTTAGAAGTATTGCGGTTTTCGAAGTAGAATCGTAAAGTTTCAAAGATATCTTGGCGTACTTTCACCAACAGATGGCGCTAAATGACTAGGTCCTTCAAAAATAAACGATTGTCATGATTTATTGACTCTCAAGTTGTTCCAAACTTTTTTTGTGAAACACAAAATCAGCTGTTAGACAGATGACAACCTCTCAGTCACCATTTACTGTATTGCATTTTTGGCTATAGAATGAAAGTGAATGGTGACTGTCATTAAGCCTAACATCCGTTTTGTGTTGTACAGAACAAACAGTTATACACGTTTGGAACCGCGTGCTTTGCTTTAAGTTAAGTAGTTTATTTTTAAATAAAATATGCGCATGCATTTGAAAAGCTGAGTGGATTCAAAACATCGCATGTGTCTACCGAGGGGTGGCGCTCTAATAAAAGCCCTGTGTGCGTGGACCCTCAAATGAGCTGTGAAGTTAAGAGAGACTACACAAATGTTTCTTAAAGTGCATCTGATTCTTTAATATGCCCTTGTAAAGCAACTTTTAACAGCAAAGCATAAAAACGCAGTGCTCAGCCTACACTATGTTTATTTTCTTTTACAGTAGGCACAATATAATTCAACAAAGAAACGCAATGCCATACCAGTGACTCGTAATAGGTTGAATCAGACTGAAAAGACAGGTTTACAGTTAGAAAAAAATTGCATTTGTGGATGTAAAATTTGCTTAAGAAAAAGATTAAATTAATAATAAAACAGATATTTTCTTTTGTGGGGTCTGAATCAAAATATTCAAATATAATGTTTCTCGGATGAATTGAGAAGCTTGGCAAAATATTACACTTCATAACAGTGAAAGGTCAGAAGTTCAGCCGAGTCACGGTGACAAACACGGCAGAGTTTTCTTTAACTGATTTAATCTTTAATATTTTTTACTATGATTTTTTTTTCTAAATTAAAACCCATTTAGTGTTCCAAGAATGAATTCCAAATAATTATGCAAATATTATTTAGACATAATATTGATAGTAAACGATAGTACATTTTAGAAGTATTGCGGTTTTCGAAGTAGAATCGTAAAGTTTCAAAGATATCTTGGCGTACTTTCACCAACAGATGGCGCTAAATGACTAGGTCCTTCAAAAATAAACGATTGTCATCATTTATTGACTCTCAAGTTGTCCAAACTTTTTTTGTGAAACACAAAATCAGCTGTTAGACAGATGACAAACTCTCAGTAACCATTTACTGTATTGCATTTGTGGCTATAGAATGAAAGTGAATGGTGACTCTCATTAAGCCTAACATCCCTTTTGTGTTGTACAGAACAAACAGTTAAACACGTTTGGAACAGCGTGCTTTGCTTTAAGTTAAGTAGTTTATTTTTAAATAAAATATCATCATGCATTTGAAAAGCTGAGTGGATTCAAAACATCGCATGTGTCTACCGAGGGGTGGCGCTCTAATAAAAGCCCTGTGTGCGTGGACCCTCAAATGAGCTGTGAAGATAAGAGAGACTACACATATGTTTCTTCTTGTTATGTAAAGTGCATCTGATTCTTTAATATGCCCTCGTAAAGCAACCTTTAACAGCAAAGCATAAAAACGCAGTGCTCAGCCTACACTATGTTTATTTTCTTTTACAGTAGGCACAATATAATTCAACAAAGAAACGCAATGCCAGTGTGGGGGTTCCGTTCGGGGTCGTGTACGACCTCCCGTCCCATTGGAGTCCACCGCCTGACCAGCAGGGGCTGCAGAATGGAGCATCTCTGAATGAGCAGAAACTCTTGGTTCCTCCCCGCACTAACGCTACTGCGCTCCGGCGGACACTGCAGACGGGTGAGCGCGGGTGCCTCGGCCGCAACATCGTGCTTCTAGCCTGGACACTTTTCTCGGATGTGTTACTTATGTCCGCTTCAACGGGCAAAGCATCTTTCCGGTTTTGGTCGTTCACTTTATGGCCATATGTATTAGGAAACTCAACTGATGCTGGACATAAAGTGACTTTTACGGAAACGGAGTCGGTGTGAGTTTATAACGGTAAGATGTCACATTAACGCATTTTTACTTTAGTTGATCGCCTGCGCATCTACAGTCATGGGGACTTTTTGAAAATGAATGTTTACAATGGAAAGCACCGCAGTCGAAATATTTTTTTCTTTTGTTTTACATTAGTCTTGTCCTCGTTCCCATGGTGAATGTATACCAAAACCGCGTGCTGCATTGTGGGATACCTGAAGGCTTTTATAGGCAGTTTTATAAGGTTAATTCATAAAGGCATTTCCCTTTTTGTCTGTTATTGTCAAATAACAAATGTAAGATTTAATAATGCAGCATTTTGTGTGTGAAAATGTTACGTGGAATTAGGATAAAGCATCCAAAGACCCTGTTTTGACTCGACTATCAGGGGTGTTTATGATTCTGAAGACCATTAGGATTCACTTGGTCTTAAAGTAACTTTCTATAAGTATGTGATATTTTAAGTCTATCTCTGTTTGCTTTGTCCTCCACCGTTATCAGAAGTCACTTGAGATAAGCTCAGGCTTTTTTGGCTCAAAACACTAAAACTTTGGTCATTTATTGCCTGTTGTACCAATACAATGACATTCTTTGCAAAAAACCAAACACACCTCAAAACAATAAAACCAGCAGGATAACAGAAGAAACAATAAAACAGTGTAAGTAGAGTACAAAAAGACAAAGTATGAATACATGGGTTTATGTAGTAAAGTAGTAGTAACATACATAGCCTAAAAAAAGTGCTACAAAATTTGAACTTTTAAAATAGTGTTTATATATTTACAAACGTTTGTTTTTTTTATGTTTTTGGAAAAAGTGTCTTATGCTTACCAAGGCTGCATTTATTTGATCAAAAGTACAGTAAAATAGTAATATTGCAAAATATTATTACACTTTAAAGGGTCAGTGAAATGTAAATGAAAATTAGGCTGTGTTGTACTCACCCCCGAGGCATCCTAGGTGTATATGACTTTCTTCTTTCAGACGAATCCAGTCGGAGTTATATTAAAAATTGTCTTTGATCTTTCAAGCTCTATCATTTCACTCAGCGGGTGTTGCATTGCTTCAGTCCAAAAGACGTGAAATAAAAAGCTCCCTTCCATAAAAAAAAGTGAATCGATGCGTTTTTGTAAGAAAAATATCCATATTCAAAACGTAATAATCACGTGAATCTAGCTTGCGCTCACTGTTGTAAACGAAAGCAGCTCCCGGCGGATGACGTATGAGTTCAGCATTGCGCATGCGCCGGTGAGTCTCGTGACAACCAACGTTTGTTTACAGGATCAAAAGAAGCAAAGTTTCCTTACTTTAAAAAAAAACAAGTCTCCTCTTGGCTTATATCAAAATCCTC